TCATCCCAATTACTTTTCATAATTATTAATTGGTTGCCATTATTACACTTTTAATTATTATTATCTATTAATTGGGCAATTATCTTCACCTTATTATTTTTCTCACTAGTCGATTATTGTATAATCATGTTTAAATATCTGATTTTGGTAAACAATTCATGAGAGGATACCACGTCAATTTCGCTAAATATTCAACACCGTTCTGTTATAGTACTATTTTTAGCAAATAAATTTATACATATTTGTACAGTTTACGTAAATGAGGTACAAAATTTTTTTTACGTTAAAACATCGTGACAAATAACGGATTCAAAGGACATTGATGTGAACGGCGAAACAAGAAGCTTTAAAAAACTACGGAAGCTATTTTGGGGGATGTTATTTCATTTAATTCGAAGCTTATAAATCTGTAACATTTATTTTTGCCCCTAGTCTATTCTGTAGATCATGAGCTTTCGTTTGATTTATGATTCACTGCCATAACGTTTTCTGTTCCAAAGCTATTGTAATTTAGACGTAACCTTTTGTACTTTATTTTCTACTGTAATCCCCAGTTATGGACATAATTGTATCTTCATAGTTGAAAGCGTGAGTCAATTGAAGCTAGACCACCATGGATAACCTGGAAGCATTGAACGACCGTTTCGCCCTATTATGGGACTCCTCAGCAGTGCGCGTCCACGATCCCGAACTCGCGAGATTCGAACCCAGGACCTACCAGTCTCGAGCCAAAGCCCTTAACCGATAGACCACTGAGCAAGCATCCGGAGGTGTTAATGTCTAACTGCTGAGAAGTCTCATAATAAGACGAAACGGCCGTCCAGTGATTCCAGGTTCTCCATGGTGGTCTAGCTTCAATTGACTCATGATCTCAACTATGAAAATACTAAATCTCCACAAAACTCCTTCTGATAATGAATATAATTGTATTTTCCTATTTATTGTACGTTGTGGTCCGCTTAGTCATCTATTTATTCATGTATCTTTTCACCCTAATCTGAATTCGGGTGCTAGATCGGGATTGGAATAAAGTGATTAGTGTCCAAGTTATCCTTGTCTTCTCTCTCACGCGTGCTTGCCAGCCAATCAGGGATAGAATAGTTTTCGTCTCTCTACCCCCACATCGAACTCAGGCATACTAGCCTCAAGGTTAAGCCGGTCAGCCTATCACGTCAAGGTTTTAATCTACATTAGACAAGTTATACTCGGCACTAAAGTGGGTAGACAGATTCAAGGACGTAACAGAAATGACCCTCAACCACAATTAATGAAGACAAATCAAAGCCTATCGGAATATAAAGATACAAAACTTTCATCGATTAGTAAGTAGTAGTAACAATTAACCAAAATATAAAATGGTATGCCGACTAGATAAGCATTTATACATACAACTTATAACCAAGTCGATAATTAGACGAAATTGAACTTAAAACTCTTGAATTAACTTGAGCAAACCTAATTATAAAAAACAAAAAACCGTTTATGTAGTAACAGATCAGTGTCATATGATTTAATGTTCAGTGATGACAAACACAGAGAAGTACATTTTCACAGTGGCCCACAGTCTATAACAATTGTTTCATATCGTGAACAGATAAATGATAACGTTTCTAAAAACTACATAGTAAGTCAATGATAAGAGATAGGTTTAATCAAAGCTGTACTACTGATGGATGCTAACAAATACTTAGTCTTATCCGAGGGCTTCTTGTGGATCATCCATAACAAGGTGCATTTGCCGAGGTAATTATGATGATTGGACAAGGCACAACATATTACATACATAGTGCACAGTCAATCATAACAACCAGAATATTCAATTCGCATCATCTTCCTAGATCGATAAGAGAAAGCAGATCAAATCCTTACATTTCATTTTATTCCCTCTCATAACGACAATGGCTGGTAGATGCAGTGTGTCAAGCCCTTGAGAGACGCCAAACCTTGAGAGTGTCTGCCTACTAACTAGGGATAAATAAGGGTTATAAAGCAGTTTGAAGAGTAACGATTATGATGGTTATGGTTGGGAATTAGATTTATGGTTTTCATCAGCCACAATGCCAAGACGCCATTTAGTCAAATAGGTGAGTGAATGTCGCTCCAAATCTGATTGGTTCGTCCATTAATTATAGTCTCTCGTCGGTTAGTTATAAAAACAAACATTCATCACCCAGGAATGCACGAACTACAAAAAATCGACATAACTTACCTTCCATGGTATATTAAAGCATTACAAATGATTAAATATTGTCCTTAATTCAAGAGTAACAATTGATGAGATGTAATAACAAGAACAAAGTCCTCATAACAAAGAAAAGTAAACAACCTAAACTAAAGGATACATCTTCAATAAGAAGTAAAAATCAGTTTTCCGAAAGTCAATAGACTATATGTTTATTTGTAATCAAGAATGGAAATAGTCAATATCAGTTTGTGAATATGAATATGTAGTGTAGAAATATAAATACCTAGTGTTATGCAAATGAAACCATCATTATAATACAAGAGACATTCAACAATTCTAAACAAAAATTTGCCCCAACTAATATGACCAATAGCCAATTATAATTACTTGGTAATCAATATATTTTAGACATAAATTGAGGGATAATTCTTTATTCACCCTAAAGACTTCTGGTAAAAACGAAAGCAGATTACTTCATAACATTGTTCGTGTGTGGTGGAACCACTTTTACTTATTTATTATTTAAATACGTGAACATTGGTACAACGAGGCACCAAATATATATGTTCCACATAAATCATTCCATTTGCGTGAGGGATGACATACTGCCCGGGTGTTCAAACCGAAGCACGTGGTTTTCCCAGGGAGCCACACCGAGCCTTTGACCTAAAGGTCCACAAGGCAGTAGAGCATCGTTAGGAGACGCAGTCCCATCGTAGTCGGTGACCAATAAGCGGTTCATGCACCATTTGTTTCCTCAGGATACTGGAGTCCATGTGCACTATTGATTTGGAATCAGGGTTTTCCAACTCCACTAGGTGAACTCTCCGTGTCCACTAACCCGATTAGAGCGCCGGACATTCGCTTTTCGACCTCTCAATTTCGTAAACAACGCCATTGCGAGAAGACAATGAGTAGGACTTCTCTAGCAGCGGTTGTACGCACGTGGCCATGTGAGAACATTTCAAGAGGGAGATCTTACTCTTCCCTCTCAGCCGTACCAGGGCATTTGGAGGCGCAGAACCAGAGGTAGTAGGGTATATTTTTAAAGGAGTGAGAATATAAAAACGCAGTCCGAAGTAGATATCTCCGTTATGCAAACTAAAAACATTAGTACCAACTGAGTCATCAGATATCATTTTAAGATGTTTTAATTTTCATAACCTTGTCGGCTGAGACATTTGAGACAATAATCGTAGTCAAGTACCTAATCTGCAGTGTTTTTTTAAATTACCACAATGTACAAGGTGAATTCGCCACTAACCCATTAAATTTTCAATACTACATAACTGTATTCCTATTTCTGTCCACTGATGAATGTCATTTCTAAATATCCGTTGTTTACTTTTTCTTTTGACAACCCGTCGATAAATACAACTGTCAAAACTAGTGTGAATTTATGCATGACTTCACCATTCTCTACTAGAAATAATTTAACACCACACACATCAACAAAAATTGGTCAAAACTCAATCGAGAAGAGCAACAAAAATACAATTCGAACACTAACTAATGAAATCGGATTCAAAACTGTTATATAAGTGAACACAATAATCGAATCGATAACTCGTTCGGTGTTTAAAATGAGCGGTATGTAGTTCGAGTCCTAGTGAGAATGTCAGTAAAGGTACATTCAAATGATGAGTGTCAAATAGCATGAAACGCATGTTCTAGACTCCAAAGCTAGTTAAAATAAATTTATCATATTAAATCTCATGACAAAATTGTTATACCAAGGCAATTTGCACAGGATGCATATAAGTCAACGAAGGCTGATCAAAATTCAGTCAGAAATATCTATAACGAGTTAATTCAAACCCTTTCTCACAATAACAAAACTACCATCCCAAGTTGAACCAACAGCTTTAAAATTTAAATGGCATAATAAGTAAAATAAAAATTATTTCATATATATGTAATAGGCTATTCTGATTAGACTTGTAATGAAACCTAAGTTTAAGCACGTATTTGAACTAGATATGGGTGACTGACTAACTGCATACTGATAGATAATATGGTTTATTCCGCTTATTACAGACAATTATGGAATTAGATGAAGAAAACTTTAAAACGACCGACATACTGTGGTAGGCATGTTGTTTATAAATAGTCATTGTACAATATATATACTATCATTTTTAGTCATAGAAAAACGCCAGATAAACCCATACACATACAGAAAATACATATAATACTAATTTTATGATAACAGTAGTAGAAGTATTGGTGGTAATCATGATAAATAATACAATAAATTGATAAAAACAATAATTTCGAATAGATTGTAGCAAAATTACTATCAATTATTCAAAGGAAAAAAATGCTTTGACAAATATTGTTATAATAATAAAGAGTAAACTACTCGATCATTCTGTGTGTCTCGAGACACTGATAGATAACTTGATTGAAAACCTTCATTACATATACATATGTAACAAAAAAACATAATAATAAGAATAATGATAATAATAGTCAAGTAAAAGCCTGATTGAGAAAAAAAACATGCTTGTTTGTATACATTAGCGCAGCAAAACAAAAAAAGAAGAAAAACGAACATGGAGCTGAGGATCATTTTCCAGTACAAAAATGGAGGTGGATAGTTGTTAATAAACTATATATATATATATGAGGAAGTTAATACAAAAATAAAACTAAACATTAGAGCAAACATAATACGAAATTCAAATCACCTTCTGCCCCGCCGAAACTTTATCCTGACGGGACAGTTATAATGACAATAATAAAACGGAAGATGGTCTAAACAATATGTATATATATATATATATATATACATATATATATATATATATATATATATATATATATATATATATATTGGTAACTATCAAAAACTGACGAGACATAACAGCATATTGAAAAAAAAACAACCCGATCAAATTTATGCATATACATACATACATTGCTAAACAAAAATAATGGTCACTATAGCTAGGTCTGTTTGTAGTTTTGAAATTCCATTTTAAATAGTACGTCTGTTTTGACAGAATAAAGGTTTGACATATGAGGGTATGTTAACAAAGAAATAATACATTGATTTAAACAGGTACATAATATACATAGAATAAATGAATAGGTAAGTACATTTTTGCTCTCTCTCTCTTACACTTGCTCACTTTCGTCCTTAATCCTCTATATCCCCTTATCTATAAACAGTTAAATTAATCAACCCTAGAAATAATATTGAAAAAATATATATATATTTAAAGAGAAAATACACATTTAAAAAAAGCTCAGAGGTTACTTTGTTCAATTATTAACACATAAGACGGAACAAAAAACCAGATGATGAATTTTTAAGATCCTAGAAGATATTTTTTAAATCATTTAACATTACTGAGTGAATATTCATAAGGTTAATAATAATGATAATCCTTGAAAAATTATAGATAAACACATATACATTAAGAAACAGTCGGATATACATGATTGACTAATATCTTCTGAAGATGCGCAGAGGATTGAAAAAGTCCAGAAGAGGATGATAATGATGATGATGGTGATGTTAACGAAGATGATTGAAAAACAGGAACAATATGACTGACAACCGACGAAACAATAGTTGAACAAGGCACATTCAATTTTGATTCACAAATGCTTGTATCGTCTTTATTATTATTATTATTATTATTATTATTATTATTATTATTATTATTATTATTCAATTCATCAATACAAGAGTCAGACTTTTTTGTTAAACTGACGTTAACAAAAGAGGTAGAAAAAGAAGCGGCCGATGTTTGAAAACGATCTACGCATAGTTTACAACTCCAACTACCTTCTGGTGGCTCAGATAATGGTGGATTTAAACAGTACATGTGATAACCTCGATCACAATCATCACAAAAAAGCATTTGTTCCTGAAGAATATAAATAAAAATTAGAAGGCAACATTTATTAAGAAAGACTATTTAATATGTAAATGGATAATATATTTGAATTACATAAAAATAGTTTGCATGCCACTTTTCATAGATGATACTATTCAGTATACATAACTCTGATCATTCACCCAAATCGCGTAGTACACTATTTGCAAACTAAAATTATTTCTTAGCGAAATCTAAAAATAAAATCTCTGACTCTACGTACATTTTCTTGCCTACTCATCACCCTATACCTTTGCACTATATACTCTGCAACAAAAACAAAAACCAGCCCAGAAAATATCAATAAAGTTATATTAAAATAAATTAGACGACGACGGTAGATAGAGAACAAATAGGTGTAAACCAACAGTACGTTTAAGATTATTTAAAGGAAGATAAGAAGTGACTATGTCGACATTACTACAATTGATTTCGAATGACTTCACCAAGAATCATCAACTAATAATCTATACTCTCAATATCCCAGTTTCGAAGAACTACATTTATCCATGAAGGCGGAACTGTTAATCACTGACTATATAGACTAGTACCAAGCGATTAAGGTCTGGACATCATGGGACAAATTTAACTAGAAAAAAAAACAGAGTCACGACAGATATTAAATCCACATATTAATAAGGCATATTAATCTACTGAATGCTTCTTACTAAAGAACCCGTGGGAATGGATCGGAGTTTATAGCGAGCTATTAAGCAAAATGCTTATAATAAATGGTCGCTCCACAATTCTTTATTTGTACTCAAATGACTCGTAAAAGTGATATTAAATGTAGGGAACTTTTATCAGACTTCTGAACAAAGACTTTTTAAAACTCAGTTAAGTCACGTATTAATTCATGTGATTTCAAGGATATACCACTAGGAATCCGACTACTAGAGGGCTTAATTTTATTTCCCACTCATGTTTTAAATAGTAACTTGTTAGAATTTTTTTCTTGAAAAATCTAATTTTCAGCAATTTCTGATCGAAATTCTCAGTAGTATGCTTTTAACAATACTATTCTCTTGAATTTTCACATCTCTATCCTTCTAATTTTTTTTTATTATTTTCATTAAGATTTCCTTTTCATAAAGGTCATTAATTTTATTGTTGTCTTTTTCATCTAAATGGTGTTTGCTTTTGTACTTGTATGGACTGTAACAACTTTAATCGAAAACCCATTTTTATTATAAATTGCATAGACATATTTATTCATACATGAAGAAATACATTCAAATAAGTTACTTGACGTAGTTACAGAATATATAAGTATTAAGTACAATCATGTATGTTCGTGACGGTTATTATGCTAGTAGAAAACACAGCAAGACAGTCTCATAAATGGCAATCAATAACTGGTAGAAAAATTATGTTCAATAGACGATATGTACTGAATAGATTGACGGGTTACGCATGTATCTAATATCAAGTAAATATATGTCTTTTTAAATACCGAATAAAGAAAGAATAAACAACATAAAAACCAATTACTTACATCATTTTCTGAAGTACCACAAAGCCAACACGTTTTACATTCAATACACTGCCACCGGTAAGTATGTACAGAAGTAATCATATTTGGTGTAAACTGTAAACAAGAAAAGTGAGCAAAACGTCCACAATCTGAACATCTTAACATATCTTCTGATCTCCCAGTCTTCTTATTCAAACTTTCATCACCTAGGCAAAAGTCACAGGTATGTTCCGATGAGTCTGTATTATTCATATCCCGCCATTCTTGTGCTTCAATAACTGGAAATATTTATAAAACAGTTAGTAATACAATGATAACTAATAAATCATTGATTTCATAATGTTTAGTGAGACCAGACAATATTTATAGTCAATATATTTATCTATACTACGAATGTTTTGTAAATATACTTACTTAGGCTACCACCACCTTGTTCAATGACTGAAGGGCGAACTCGTGAAGGGCCGAATGAACCATTTACAGAAGAACAAAGATTATTGTTACTACTATTCTTATTAGTTACAGAAGTGGAATGAGAAGTAGAAGTGTGATTACTGGTAGTTCCTGAATTAATTACTGACCCATTGAGCAAATGATTAGTTTGACTGTGAGACTGTTGTTGTTGAGAATGAGGATGATGGTGATGATGTCCATCTGTTCCTCGATAAGGAGACATAAAGGCCGGTCGTGCACAACTCATTCGTGGTGTCTAATATATGGAATGAAGTGAATAAATAAACAGAAAAGTGGGGGTAATGATAGATGCATTAGGATAAAATGTAACAAAAACGTAATCTGCCCTAAATAAATTGTTTCGTAAGTTAAAAAGATAGATATGTATTGGAAGGAGTGTAATAGTTAGATAACAGGAAAAAGATAATGATACTCAAAACAGAAAAAATATAATTTGATTCACCAAACTAAAAAGCTCACATAAAACATTTCAGAACACAGAATGATAATCTCATTTGAAATATGACTAGATAGTTGCATATTCTGTGGGTATTTAAAAGACTTGAAATTTATTACAATCTGTAACTTAACAACCTAGCACAAAGTTGTAAGTTAGCTTATGGATAACATTTGTTTTTTTCCAATGTCTACTGATCCCAGTCGTTAGGGTTAGAATAAAGTGATTAAAATAATTTTGAATATATGACCCAACTGATGGAAAATAATACTATAAATCAATGAGATCCAGTCTCAAGTTGCTACAAACTTTAACACAGGTTACAAAATGTATCATGACCAATATGGTACAGAGATATAATCTGTTAGATAGCTAACTGCTTCCCAGATTTAAAAAGTTAATTGTATTTTGATGAATTCCTTGTTGGCCTGACGAGTTTGAAAACTGTTTTATCACTCTTCTATTTGTTATTTTGAAGTGTAAATCACTACGCTTTTTTCGAAATCTCAACCGTGACAAGTCATTGGAACAAACATAAAGCTAATATATGGAAGACTAAATTTTTTCGATGAGACTTTGATTAAAATGAATTAACTACCGAAAAATTAGGAAAGCAGTCTAAGAGGGTTTTGGAACTCAAGACCTGAGGAAAGATAGTCAGTAAGTCCATAGACTGATGCCATATCTTGCTTTGGCTGCCCCTAGCTTTTTTCAACTTTCTCTCACACCGGCCATCATTGTAAGTCAAGGTAGGTAGTGGTTGAGCATATGTAACATATGTCTCAACCGCCTAAGATGATGATTCATGATCTCGACAACCGATTTGCCCTCTATTTGGCAAATTGCGTTCAACCTCAACATTGTTCACCTAGTGGTCCTAACATACACGATCAGTGTTACGAAGACATTTATAATCAAATACCAACAACCTACGAATACCCTCTAAACTTAAAGGCCCCATTTCACAGACATATGGTGAAAAAGAGCAAACTGATGTGCAGTAAGCTCGTCCTTTAGTCAGCAGACAGACATCTTAGCACAACTTAGCGAAATTCAGTCGACCTTTCTGAATCCGTGCAGAGATTTCGTTGGATACTAACCCATCAGGGTTGATCAGATTTCCAAGATAAATGAAGTGGTCACCATGATCAACTGCTTTATCCCTTATTATGCTCTGACACAGACCAGTCCTGGGGCAACATTTTGCATTTGACGGGAGAGAAATGCATTTACAAACATCTTTGCATTGGAGCTCAAAATGATAAAAAACATTCTGAATTTTGTCTGAGACCTTACCAAACAGAACTATGTCATCTGCATCAACAAGTAAACTTACTGGTAGGAGATAGATTCCGGATAAGTCAGACAATGAGAGCGTTATCGCTAAAAGAATGTCTATGACAAAGTTAAATAAAATTACAGGAAGTAAACAAACCTGATTAATATCACTTGATGCTGCAAGTTCCGATGGTGGTTTACCATAAGCTATGAATCAACTAGTAGTGTTCATGAAGAGAATTTTTACAAGGGTGATATATTTCCTTAGCATATCTTTCAATGACAGACACTGACATATAACATATAGAACTGCAGAATCAAGAGCTGCCTTGGGGTCAAGAAATACAACTATGATTGTGAGTTGGTAGATGCCTGTGTTCGAAAACCTGGAGAGAAGCTAACATTTGGTCTTCAAATCCATGTCCAGGTCTGAAACAAGTACGGTTCGATCTTCACAAGCCTTGGTTAAGCGTTAGGTGATTAGACAAGTTAATAGTACAGATACCTTATTGGTCAAACTGACTTACTCTGTGGTTATCACAATCGGATTTTTGTCCAATCCCATAAACTAGAACGACATTAAAAGGTATACTTGAAGTAGTATCATACCTAGATGACGTCATCATTATGTGATCAGCTGAAAGCGAACAATCTGATTATCTTTACCACGTTCTAGATAGAATGACGTACGGGTTCTATGTGAAGAAAACTACATCTTTCCATTTAGTCTACTATCTTCATCTTAGATAAGATTGGTTGACGATCAAATAAAGCTAAAACATACGCCAATGAGAAAGTCGATCCAATCTTTATTGGGACGAAATAGTTATTACAGGACATTTCTCCCCGAAATGTATTGAGAGACCCGTTGAATAAACTACTAACGAAAGACAAACCATGTCAGTAGTCAGTAGAATGTCAACCATCTTTTGATAAAATTAGGTCAATGCTTATGACGAATCTTCCTAAAACACTTCGATCCCAGCTTGGAAATCACCGTTGAATCTGATGTCTTTAGTTATGGAAGTGGGACAATAATACCACACATTCCAAGAGAATGTCAGAAAAAATAATAACATGTAATGAGAGACCATTCACTTCAGCCAAGTGAAACTGCAGCTACGACTGTACTACTAAGAATGTAAACGGACTGAGAGTGCGGATCAGTCAGTCTGCTGCAAGTGGATCCTAACAATAAATCTTAGGAATCCAGCCAAAGATGTGCCAAAAAGATAGTACTGATATATTTCCAACCGATCACAGACAAAAGATTAAGAGAGAGGACATCAGAAGTTCTAGATGTAAGTTTCATAAGAACTCTTGTGGTTTTATTACTGTAGACTTATTGTTTCTGTTTACTGGAACATATCTTGTCCTCAACTGATTCGTGTTTTGATTTGTGTGCATTTAAACAAATTTTAGTCAATCGTACGCAATTTAGAGCCTGACATATCGGGTTAAGTTGTCACATCTTATTTGTAAAGTAAGATGAAAGTATGAGGAAAAATTCCACAATAGTGGAAGTAGTAATAGTACCAGTATTAGAAAATATTAGGTAATCTAGTGCTAAATAATACTTGACAAGGAAGATATAACGAACTCACTATGAAAAATTAATAAAAATGACTAAAATGTCTATATTCACCTGGTAAACTTTTTAAAATACAACTACCAGGAAACAAAATGGCTGTTCGTCCGAAAAAACATGAAAATAACTTTTCAAAAAACATCGTGTATGGTACCGAATATGCCTTTTTCGACCATAACGAGGACGGCCTTGTGTATCAGAATAAATTCAAACAACTATATTCAAAGTACGAGTTGTTTCTACTGTATAAACCTTGACGTAAAACAGCCTTTAGTCTATTAAAAACGCTATAATTCCTAAGTACCTCAGCCTACGAGTTTGCACTAAAAAGGATACTGAAGATGAAATAAATAATTTGCTTGTTTTGTACGTAGTGTATAAGTTACATAACACAAATGTTTGTCCTCTTTTATGAGTGAATTATAAGATCACAATTAGTAATATTGTTTCATACGAGAGGCATGTTGTAGCATTTACTTCGCAAAAAGCTTCTCATCTAATGATAGATTAGTGGATTTTATTGATAAGACATAACGAGATGATTACAGTGAATGTGTGTGGCGTGATGACTTTGTGGTTAAAGTATTCCACTTAGAATCAGGTTAGATTCCCGGTCCACCAACTCGAGTTGGAACAGTAAGGTAGTGTCACTAGTCTCCACACACGAGAGATGTGATTCGAACTTAAGTATACAAACCTGTACCGGGTGATCTACATTTTACATAACAATTCTCAATTTGGAGTATAATTGAAAAAGAAGGAAAAACGCAAATGAATTCATACAAATAGGGCTTTAAAAAATTCTAATGATATATTCCATAGTGTTAATGCATGTAAAAGACATTTAGGAGATTCAAAACAATGTTATTTACGAAAGTTTGGAGCAATCAAAAACCTGTAAACCTTATGACAATATTAAACTCCTTAATTTTTTCCCCTGAATAATAGCAATTGTTTACATTTATCTAACATCATATACAAATTACTCTCCCGTTCTTTAACAGTAAATGTACTCTAATACCTAATTTGTCTGTTCTTATTAATAATAAATCAAACAGACACCGTATTTCGTTTTTAGGGAAAAAGCTGTACACGACTGGCAACTTCCAGTTATTCACGACTCGCTGACTGAGACCCTAGAAATAGTGCAACAGTGGCTTGTGATGTTACCAGAGACGGCTCAGAATAGAAGCCAGTGGAAGTACTGCCGTATTTTTCTTACTCTCTTCATATAAGTAAGAGGAACTTCTTCAACTGAAGGAATCCTTCATGGTCGTAGTTTTATTAACTGAACTGCTCCTTTAATTAACATTGTCTATTCCATTTTCATACACTAATATCCATTCATTTTTGTTCCTTTTTTATTATACTGACATTTCTTACTATATCTCTAATTTCACAATCTCTTCTTTATTGTGGCCCATATATATTTTGGTGCCCCTTTGTACTGACACTTACGTACTTAAATCAATCGATAAAATTCACAAGACTCTACACGGAATTCATAGAACATGATAAGATACAACACTATATTACCTAATGTAAATTCATTAGTTACAGCAAACGAAATGTATTACATAAAACCAGTAAAAATTCTGTCTTTTACAGTGTTCGCGTCTTTCGTATGTAAATACAGTTTGATTTTTAGTGACTTAATTATATTAGAATGGTACAAAACAAAAGCCCAACCGTTGCTGATACCTTGATGTGGTGGTCGGGCTTGCCTATCGTGATGAATCAATCGAGCTACACTGGCAAGGACAATCGTTCCTCAGAGTCCTGCAATGCCAGACAGGTCGGTTGAAGAGCGGTAAGACTAAAAGCAGTAAACCCAAGGTCCGAGGGTGAAGTAGTACTGCTGACTGTACAGAGCTGTGACGGCAGTAAGGTGTTTCCTTCAGACAACCAGCATAACAGCAATGCTGCCGTCCCA